AGGGCGGTGTTCGTGAGGAGCCTGCTTGCACTTGTAGGATCTTGCCCCAAAACCTGGCATCAGTTTTTACGTATTTTTTGTCTAAAAACCTTATTTTGATTCTTATTTTGACTAGCGTGTGGGCAGACTACAATCAAAGTTGCTATTCTTTCTCCCCCACCCCATCCTGCACCGTCACTTTGTTGCATTTCAGTCTTGTGCATGAAAGCTCATGCCCATCCCACCATCTTTACCTTCCTGCAGGTTAGGCACGTGCCAGAGGATAGTCGTTCTTCATTTTTAGGTTGATTCTTTGCTTTAAAAAAAAAAAAAAAAAAAAAAAAAAAGTTTTAAATGAGGCGGTGCCTTACGGTAATGCAAACCAACTTCCTGCACAATGAATTAACTCCTCTACTTAAATCGTATCAGTTTTATGAAATATTAAAGTGTTGGGAATCTTTTGCACCACTGGATTTAGAATTCAAAGTATTAATGAACATTCTTACTGTCATGTATCTTTCTGTATTGTGCATATCAAATGAGTTGGTCAGAATTAAACAATTCTGAAACTTTTTTTTCCTCCATTTCCATAGTTGACGAAAGGGTTAACTCGAGCTTTACTTGCAGTAACAAATGAGAGAATCTGGAGAAGTTGCATTCTGTCCCTTAGCAATATCATAGAATTGTTTAGGTTGGAAAAGACCTTTAAGAACATCAAGTCCAACCGTTAAATGATATATTACAGGCTTTATGTTGGTTGTCTTACGGAGTATGCCATTCTTGCATGAGGCAGAATCTTGTGTGTGTGTCCTGAACTATACTTCTGACAGGATTTCCTAAAAGACAAAAAGGCCAATGTTAAATATCGTGTATAAAGCCACAAAGAGGAGTCCCGTGCTCTTTTCCAGGCTAGAAATAAAAAGACTTAACTTCTGTATGCTTGTAATTAAGTATGCTCCTTCATTTATCTTTGCAGTAATAAGCATATATAAAACTGCATTTTAATGTACAGAATAAGCAAGAAAAAAATATTTGAGAGACAAAGGCTTCGTCCTCTCTGAAGGTGTCATTACGTTTTAGAGTACCTGTCATCCCTTCATGGTCGGGTTGCTTCGTGTTCCACAGTGCTGATGTGTACATAAACTTGTTACCAGCACAGCAGCCAAAACACGCTGTATTTTTTCCTTTAGACTCTAACTATTGCAAAAGAACTGCTTTTCTTTCTTTCTTTCTTTGATTACCCAGTATAATCATATCATAGAACTAGTCCTTAAAATGGTGATTTAGGCAATATTGATGTTGCTAGTAATTTTACTTTCATTAAGCATATTTCATGGCTCAAGACCAGAGGATTTTAATACCCTGTCATTTACTTATCTCATTCAAACATTTTTAAACCTGCTGCTACATGCATACAAGATAGCGCAAGAAGTCAGCTTCGTATTTTATAACCGCTTAGGTTTGTCGCTGGTGCTGACCTGTTCTGGCCCGGTTATTTCTTTTCATAACAGCAGATACGGTAGGCACTCAGTGGCTTAAATATAATTGATACTGACGTCTGTCTGCGCACTGACAGCGAGAAGTCTCCACCGTAGAATTTCCACAGTGACACCACTTGGCAGTACTATGGGGATGAGGGCTCAGGACTCCGTGACTGCAGGGACTGATCTACCTTGACCTCATAGCAGCATCTATCTTAGTTGGAAAGTTTGGGCTTGTGTTGTCTGTGAAGGACTTTGTCCTTTAAAACTTTTTGGCACCCTTTGCAATAGATTCCATTTAGATAGACCTGCTAAAATGGTATGACTTTTGCTATTGGACTTGTCTTCTGTGTTTTGTTTGTGGCTTTTTTTTTTTTTTTTTTAAATAAATCTCATGAATATATGAAATCTAAGAATTATGGTGGGTTCTGGGTTTTTTTTCCTTCTGATGGTTTCATTCAGCTGCTCTTCTGAGAGGATGAAAACTTTTAGTTACCTGCTATTGTGATTTCTGTTTCCACCAACAAAACAAACAAAAAAAGTGTTGGAATAGCTTCTAGAGTCAGAAGCAAAATCACTACTATTTTGTGTGTATATAGCTTCTAGAGTCAGAAACAAGATCACTACTATTTTGTATTTTAAGCATCTTTTCTTTTAGAAAGAGGGTGATGCAAAAGAAATACCTACGTGTAGTATGCTTTTAGTAACAAGTGATCAGTTAAATCTGCTACCATCTAAGTATACTTTCTCTGAAATTCCCTGTAATCCGTGTTTTATAAGTCAAAATTCTGTATGTGACTTCTAAGTTCTGTTATTTATGTGATCTGTTTGAGGTACTTTGAACAAGCCCAAAGTGCTTTCCAAATATGAGTTCTTACTAAGCTCTTTGGCTGTGTATTACTTGAATATGAAAGTCTTGTTTAATGCCTGCAGTTTTCTCCCAGCATATGCTAAAACAGCACTTTGAACTTTTTCTGTGTTCCCTGGTGCTATACATAAAATTCATTTGGAAAAAAAGGAAAAAACCGTAAACATAACACTTTTTTCCAATTAGAGGAAATGTTTGTGGTTTTTTTTTTTAAAGCGTTCGCTACTGGCCTTGTATGCTTTGTGTTGGTGTTCAGCTTGAAGCTGAAGGAACAAGGTTTCTTGGCCCTGATAAGCCCAGCTAATCAGGGGTGATGAGTGCCTTAGGACAACTCAAAAGTCAGGTTTTCAGGATGAGAGCTGAAAGACATCCAGGTGTCTTGTTTCCTGGCTCCAAGGTATTATTGATGGCCCTTCGCTGGGTGCCCTGGGTCGGCTCCTATATAATGCAAGTCAGGTGTGCAAAACAAATAGGTGGAGCAAGAGGAGACTGAAGTTGAGCAGTAGAAAGTTTAGGGGAGCAGACAAGTGTATTTGAATGTAAGTAAATGTAAATTAAAATGGCCCTCTGTTGCTTAGGCTGTTTATTCTGAGATTGTGGAAGACCTTTTTTTGCACTGGAGGGATCAGTGGGGTGTGAATCCCTCCTGCAATCAGCAACTCAACAGAGTGGTAGGTAGTACCTGCTGCTGTTGAGTTGGCTGTGGTGTGTTTTGTGCATCTGCTTCTCCCCCCAGATATGAATATGTAAATTTTGTCAAATGAAGCATTAGTACTTGACTGTAATGCTGTGGTAAACATTTCCCATACTAACTTACGGAGTGCTGCGGTTAATGTAGCTCAAGCTTTAGTAAACCGTGCAGTGAGACTTACTAATAACATTTTCTCTTCTAGGCTTAAGTAGCCAAAAATGAGTCGTGGATTTTCAGAAAACAATAACTTTCTGTATGACAACAATCAAATGGTTTTGGATATGATCCTGTGTTCCCTAATTGGTGTTCCTCAGCCCATCAACTGGGACAGCGTGGCAAGGCTAGTTCCAGGATATACATCCAAAGAGGTGAATTTACTAATAAAAGAATTCATATACTTTAAGCCATACTCTATGAAAAAGAGAACATCTTTGGGGGAGGGAGGGAAATTGAAGTTAAGGGGTTTGTTTGTTTGTTTTGGGGTTTTTTTCCCCTGAAGTAGTTTATACCTAAAGAATCAAAAATGTTAAATGAGCAGTAGATTGAAAAAAAATTTTTTGTTTCTACAAAACCTGAGCATTGAAATAAAGAAATACATTCTGCTTTTTATTTCATTAGAACTGATACAGAATAAGAACAAAAATGACTGGGAAGTAAAAATTAAGAAGTGGAATTAAAAACAAAAGGTAGTTGTGCTAATGTATTTCAAATTACATAGCTAAGATTTTCATGGAAAGGATGGCAGTACCCACTAACCTCATGTAGGTTGTATACTTACTAACAAAGCTGATAACTTTCTGTGCTTGTCATTACAATTCTAAGGAAGCATGAGTTACGGATCTCCATTAGGTAGTTAAGAGTGTAGTTGGCTCTTGCTTAGTCCTGCAAGATGTGGATTTTTCTTTCTTTGAGTGGAATAGAGTTGGAAGAACCTAGTACCTCCGTGTACTTAATCCTTCTGGATTGCTGAATTTCCCGGTGAAATGCTTACTTTTTTTAGATAATAATTTTGAATTTTTTAGTTCTGAGGGGAAGTAAGCTAAAAGAGGAAAATATCTTTTGCCCTTGTGGTTCAGCAAAGCTGGAAAAAAAACAAGCCAACTGTCTTTATTTTCTTGCAAACCTAATGAAATGTGTCAGCTCATATTTATAGCATTGCTACTGGGCGTCACTGTAACCTTGTATTTAAAACATAAAAGTGAATGACTGGGAGTAGAAGCTTCTGTGGAATGTTACTGCCTGTCAAGTGCTTGGCAAAGCGCTTGGGGGGGTCTCTACTGTTTACCTTTCAATTTGCCGACAGAACCATGCACATTAAGCAATCAAAATGATTATAAAAGTATCGGTGAGCTCTCTCCTCATACTAATTAAGATAATATGGTTGATGAGTACATGTCTGGTTACTCTGTTTTAAAAGAATGAAGTGTCTCAAACATGCCGAGTCCCTGTTTAAGGCAATGAAGTAAATGTATACCTGTGCTTTCATGTATCTGTTGTACATAGTAGCCTGGCATCCTTACAAATTTGAGACACTGCATTAATATCAGAAGGATCTCGCTGTGTGCACCTCTCCCAAAGGGGCAGGTGGCGTGCAGCAGTGCCAGTTAGCTCAGTCCAAAAGGAAGAAATAAAAGCAGCTGCTTGAATGGAGCCTGACAAGCTGTGTCTCAGGAAGATCACCTGTAGAATTAAGTAGATTCACTTGTATGTGTAAATCAGCTGTGTATAGGATTCTGCTGAACTAAACTTGGAGTTGTCGTTGTATCAGTACAGATTTACAAAACGGAAAGACTTTCTAGTTCATCAAAACACGGAATGGAAAATTAATAGAACTGCAGTGGAAATCAACAGTCCCTTTTGTCCAAATCAGAATGGAAGTCATAAAGTAAAAGAATAATAATTATGAACCAATTACTGTAGCTACTTTTAATAATATTTGACAATGTTTATGGTTAAAGAACTAGTTATAAAGAGCGAATGTAAACTCTGCCCGTAACTTTCCCTTTTGAAGATCAGGCTTAAATTACAGGGTTTAAGGAAATAAAGGTTGAAATGGGTTCAATCTTTTTTTTTTTTTTTTTCTCTTTCTGTTAGACTGTTTAATTATGGTAAATCTTACTTATTTTACGGTATATTTACGTACTTTCCTGATACCACTAACTAAACAGGAAGCATTGTAAGTTTTATACCAGTAACTGTTGACATGCAAAAGATATAATGAAATACAATAGCTGTCTCAAATTATAGTTATTAAAAATGTACTGAAAGCTACTGCTTCATTGTCCTATCATTTAATCTTGTGACAGTGTGCAAAAAGGTTTGATGAGCTAAAAAGCAGTGGAAGTTCACCTGTTGACAACCAGTATAATCCCCTGATGGCCGCTGGTGGGAGTCCTGTGGAAACTTTAGCCACGTACATCAAATCCTCCTTGCTCGATACACAGACAGAGTTTCAGGAGCCTGCTATTGGGCAGGATTCCATTACTATAACTGGTATGTTTTTAGTCATTCTGAAATATATTGGCTTTGATTATAATCAGTAAGTGCATGCTTTTCTGTCCTGAGTGGTAAGTCCACCCAGGAATAGTACTTGTTCATCTTTGAAAAAGAAAGTGAAGTATAAATATAATGCATATGTGAAGTCACTTTCACTTAGTTTAGATTAAGAATCGATGTTTAATTGGGTATTTTTAATAGCTTGTCCTTCCAAAAGGCATAAATCCTTACACTAAATCCTCTGTTAAGGATTTTTGGTGGGGAGAGGAATTGCACTCATGTTTTGTACCCCCAGTGTTGGTACTGTTAAACTTACAGCCATTTGCAATCACGTTAAGCTGTGTTATTAAAATAACTGGAGAGTTTTGTGTAGAAAAGCTGCAGAAAGCTGAGAAGGTGATCCACTGAGGTCAGACCCTTCTCTCCCAGCAAAAAGCCCTGTGTCTGCCATGCTGCTTGGTGTCAAGATGGCTACGCAGGGGTTGGAGCGTAGTCTAGCTACTTTCTGATGTAAGACGGTCTCGCAGTGACATATAATGTGTCTTAGTCAGTTATGTGTCCCAATAATAACTTGGCAGAAGAGAGCTGGTCCTTATTGTTGTATTTCAATCACAGCACAATTAAATACTGTTAACATCTCCGTAAGTTCTTCTCCTGGAGGAAGTTGTAATTGACTGTGTGATAGTTGTTCTCTGGTTTTCGTTGTAGACTGAGATGTTTTCAGCACCTTGTAGGACTTGGTAAATGTGTTGCGTGAGAAATTTGCTTCAGTAATGAGTAAACAATTTCTGTGTTAAAAATTAAGATGACAGTGAAGTGTTTAAACAAAATGTTCTCTGTTATGATGTCCTTCACAGTGCTGCAGCTTTCTGGTCGCTGTACTCGTTGCAGAAGAAAAACATCTGTTTGACCTTTGCTGGAGAAGGAATGAAATGTTTTTAATAACTCTAATGAAGAGATGATATTTAAAAACTGTATATGTAGTATCTAGACTCAAAATGCTTCCAAATGCTTCCAATCAGCTTTCAGTTATGTACTTGTTACATGCATGATGTGGAATAAATGCTTCTTGCACCCACAGGTGGCTACTTACAAGATTAGAAGCTTCCCGGTAGGCAGTTAACAAGCTAACTCTGCTTATAGAACTCTTTAGACAATTAGTGCATGTTTTCTTTTTAACAATGTAATACATGGAATAAGTATTAGTGCAGTTAAGTACCCTAATGTTTCCTACTACAAGATCCTAGCCTGAGATTTTTCTGTTTTCTTTGCGACTTTGGATAAATAATGTTCCCTGTTTATATGTAATTTGTTGATATGGAATTAGGATAATTAATCTTTTTCTCACAGGCTTGTAGCGAACTCACCTTCTTAATATTTGTGAGGTACTTGTATATTTCAGAACTGGGGATTTGAAAAAACATTTACAAATAGGCTTTTCTGTTTAATTTAAATTACTTCCTAGTGGATTTATTCATATCTGCTTATTGTTAGGATCAAGAATTTTGGGCCTGTTTGGATTTGTTTGTAGACACGAGTAACAGCAAGAAAGAGCAATCAGACCAAATTAATTTTGAGCTGGATTCTGGTTTTGGCTGAGCTATAACAGCTCATTCATTACTTGCTAATTATAAGGCAAACTGCTGTTATAGTGTCTCTGAATGCCTATTATGGCAGTAAGCAAGCATATAGGACAGCCTTTTACCCAAACTATTTATTACTAACTTTCAAAAGTCAAACAAGCTATAAGCTTTGGGGGAAAGGAAAAAAAAAAAGGAAGAAACATATGGCGAAGATCAGACATCCCCGTTAATTTGGCTGCGTTGCATATTCTTGTCAGCATTGTTTCCTTTTCTTTAATAAATAACTTCACTGCGTTCAAAATAATCTTAATATTTGCAGACAGAACTCTTCCATGTCATTTTTTTCTACAGGCTCTTCCTTTAAAATACTCACCTTACCTTGCATTCAAAATCTAGGAGTCCCACGCTGGCTGTTTTAATGCTAGCACAGGTCATTTGCCTGCAGTGGAATGGCTGCCTTGAAGGCTGTGGCTGACCCAGCCCCTTCCAAGGTTTTACTAGGGTCTGTCTAGTAAATATTTCCCTTTTATTAACTGTGTTCCCTGTCTATGGCCTTACTAAGGCTGAACTGTGCAAAGCCTTAGGCTATATCTGTGGAGAAAGTTTTGCTGCTTCTGCCTCTGGTGTGATAACTTTGCTTTCCTGAAGGGCATAACTGCTGTGTTCTGAACTGTATAGAGCTTCCAGATCATTTTTGGTGGCAGTCTGCTATAGTTGTTTAGCCATAAGTTGAAGACGTCTATCTTGGTCATCTTCAGAAGAGTACAGACTCTTACGTTACACGAGAGGGAGAAGATGCTTCTGCAACTCTTTTTCCTAGAAATCTGAGAGTAGGGAGTAATCATGGAAAAGTCACGACCTTATGGGTTTTCATCAGTGGAAGACAGGCATATGCCCTTCCATTATTTAAAAAAGATAATGATCTTTCTGGCTTACAAGCAAGATTATTGATGTTTCAGATTGCAGTGTTCCATTCATCAGTCGGAAATGTTATTCAATGTCTGATTGCTGGAGTTGTCTTAACCCTTGACCCAGAACTCGGTGGATTTGGTGACCTGACCTCCTGGACTTCACTAGGTTTTGTGCCCGGGTTCCACTGCTTGTAGTGCATTTGTGAAGATAGCCCATTTGAACTAAAGCGCAGCTGTCCTTTATTCCTGGAGTAAGCTACGTGATGTAGTTCTAGGACTAGACAAATTTGAAGGTCTGCTTTCTTTGAGCATTGTTCTATACAACCTGCTGCTTTAAGCCATGTGTTTGAGAAACTTGGCAAAAACACATCTTAAGAGCTTCTGTGCTTCTGTTTGGAAGCAACAGAGCTAACGAATGATGGATAAGAAGCGGAGTTAGTCTCAAGTTGTTATATCCTGGCAGCAAAGCTTCCTGAAAACAGAAGTTTTGATGTGACAGAGTCTTAAGACCCACATGCTACAATGCAGACAAAGAGAGCAAAAGGAGTGGATTGCATTCCCAGACAGAAATGCTGAAGACTCTGCATGAATCTTACTGCTCTCTACTGAGACAGGACCAATTGGGTTTGCAGCCAAGTGTCTGGGCAACCTGGCAATGCTGCTGATGTGAGTTTCCAGTGCATGGCATTCAGAGCAGGAATTTGGATTATCTAGTAGGCCTTACGGTAGCACAGATTTGTTGCTAGCTGTGTAACATCGCTCCACCGTGAGAGCTGTACTTCAGTTGCGTTTCCAAGATGCTGAAGAGCAAAAGGTCAGGCATTTTATTCTAATACAGCCTTTTTTTCCCTTACATTTAAGGAAGGCCCAGCACAACCTCCACAAGGAATTGTTCTTCAGAATCGGAGAATGGTCCTGTGAATAAAGGTGGAGAAAGCACTGACGAAAGCCAGGGGTAAGAAGATCTTTGTATGTTTGATATCTAGGGGATTACAGAACCGACAGAAAGAGGTCTAAATTGCTCGTACTTTTCTACTATCACGAAGAAAACAACTGGGAACATCCTAATAAATGCTGTAAGAAATTTTGAAACCTTACATTGCTACAGCAATAGTAGGAGTTGGTTTGAGAATTTCGTATGTGCAACGGGGATATCTTACGTACGAATCTGTCCATAATGTTCCTCCAAGCGGTTGATCGCTGCTGTGGAGAGAATGGGAAACGTAACCTGATTTTAAAAAGGAGTGAAACAAGATTGATGCTCAGTAACATTTTAAAAGATACATTTTCTGTGAACATAGATTTGTCCTATGTAAAAGCATGAAAAGAAAGCTGTAAATGAAAAGTGCAAATGAAAAATTTTACTATGAATCTAAATAGCCATGCACATCACTGTTCTCTGTACTATACAAGTACACACAGAATAATGCGTGTGCTTGCAGCCTAAGGGTAACCATCTTTCTGTAGAGACAGCATTTACTGATTCTAGCTGTGATCTTTTCGTAAGAAATAGTTATTTTAATATACGATAAGACAAGTCTGATTTCCACAGATGGAAATAGCTATTGTATGCTGTTATTGCCCTTGGTGCCTCAGTAAGTTAGGCATATGTATCTGCCTACTTTTTCAAGAAAATAAAAAAGGGAGAACAAATAAGTTCCTTATGTAATTCAGGTAGGGATCCCATAACAAACTGGAGACAAAATTGGGGACTGAAGCTAGAAATTTTATTTTTTTTCAGTCCCTTAACCATTAAATCGCAGTGATTATGTACCAGAGGATATGCATTTGTGTTCTTCACTTGACAATGCTATCAGACAATAGTTTCTATTAAATTGCAATTATTAACTAATAGTGCAAACTCCTGTTTTCCTTCTGTTAACAAAAACTTGTTAGGGACATGAGGGTTGCAATGTGTGATCCAGATTTGGAGACAAGATCTTTGCTGATCGGTTTTGGTGTTCTAATTGGCTTACGGTCCTAATTTGGTTTGTGGCTTGTTTTCTTTTTGAGGCCAAATATGGTGATCCACGTGTGTGATGAAGCTAAAAACCTCAAAGAAGATTTTGTTTGTCCTCGAGACCTTTTGATTTCGGAAATGAAATACTTTGCTGAATATCTGTCAGTGGATGCCCAGCGCTGGGAAGAGGTGGACATTTCAGTGCACTGTGATGTTCACATCTTTGACTGGTTGATAAGATATGTTAAAAGGAACACTAAAGAATTTGAAGCTACTGAAATGCCCACTTTAGGTAAAAGAAAGCGTGTAGATCATTTGTTGTAGGTTCGTTATGTTCTGTACTAATGGAAGATTAATGGTTTTTATACAGTTCAGCCCCAGTCTCTTTGTTTCTGACTGTTGCACTGAAGCTTGTAATTTGTTCGAAAAGTGTTGTGACAGATCCTCTGGTCATTGTAGCAGGTCTTGATTTGTCAACACTGACAGTTTTGAGGAAACATCCTGATAGGTGAAGCAGTGAAAAAGGTCTAATATATTTTGGGATCTGGTGTTTTTAATTAAGGTTCTTCAGACCTCTTCTGAACAAGAACAGAGTGGTAGTTTTAAAATACTGATGATTGTTCGGTTTTGTTTTGTTTCCCCTCTTCTCCCCATCGGTACAATTGCGATATTTTCTAAAATTGCAATGCAGTCTGATAGAATGGTAGAAGAACTTTTGTCTTTATGAATTTGAGGCAAGTTTTTAATCTTTTTATGAGCCTTTGCTGCCATTTTTTTAAAACTATAAACAAACCAAGAGAATGGAGTTATAACTTGCAATGCAAAGGTTATGTTAAGCAAAATCTCAACTGAGTACAATGGCTACAGAGGGAACTTAATCTTGTTGTATAATTGTTTAGTCGTTGCATCCCTATGAAGCCACCTTTTGCAGTTCTTAGAAATTCCAGTTTGTTATAGTTGTATTCTGGTCACCTAACTGATAAACCAAAACTTTGTTTCTTAAAATGGAAAATACTCTACATATCGGAAGATGGAATGACAGGTTGATTGGTGAAATAATACAGATACTAAATGTGCAGAGGGAGGGATGTGATGTGAAAATATCGAAAGAACTCATGTAAAAAACAACTTTTTTTTGTTGTTACCTTTTAGAACCATCAAATGTCATATCAATTCTTATTTCTTCTGAGTTTTTGAAGATGGATTCATTAGTAAGTATTAAGAAAGATTCTCTGCCATAAGGGCACAGTTGATTACCAGGTGTCTAACAGCTTGTTTGTTATGCTTTGGCTGTTACACAAACAAATGATGCAATGAAAGTGTTTTGAGACTTTTACCACCTTTCTTATTCAATGCAGTCATCTCATATTTGCAGAACCTCAATGCAGGAAAACTTACAGAATAAGTTATTTCTAAATGTGATAGTGGGATCTTGGATTTGCTTTCTGATGACTTATCTAGAGTAACATCACTATCTGACTTCTGATAGGTTTTATCAAAAAAGATTATTAAGTCAATGAATACCTTTGGTTTATACCCTTTTTACATGAATGACACTTCCTCAATTTAGGATCTGGTTCTCCAGCTCTGTATAAGCAGTATCTACTGACTTGTTTGTTAAAATGTTTGTCAGAAGTTCTGTCACTGGGGTGACCCACAATTAAACACCCAGTAAACATAGCTGTTTAAGTTGAGATCCAGGCAATACTATGTATAATGTGTACTGTGGTTCTCTTTTTACAAGCAATTGGAAGCTACCACTTGTTGAAACTGAAACATTTGTGGCGTTGTTTTCTGGTTTGTAGAAACCTTTTGGAGGAGAACACAAACTAACTCAGAGTCATGTTAATTCAGAGTCTCCTTTAGACAAATCCGAGACTTGTTTTTTATTTTTAAGTTGAACTGAAATAGTTTTCCAAAACACCACGCTTTAAAAAAATAAAAATCTTGAAGCAATTAGTACATCTTTTGAGATAGCTTTGTCTAAAATTCCTTAACATTATTTTTCACGTTTCTATTTTTCCTAGGTAGAAAAATGCATTCATTATTGTCACAAAAATATGAACGCCATTGTAGCTACACCATGTAACATGAATTGTATCAATGCTAATCTTGTCACGCACATTGCTGATCTCTTCACGCACAACGAAGTGGAAGAGTTGAAGGACAAAAGGGACAAATTTAAGAGGTAACTTCTTGCCCTGTAGTACACTACTGAAGTGCAGTCAAGCTTTTGGATCATTTTTCAGAACAGCTAAGACACTGTGGGCTTTGAAGTGATATGTATACAATTTATATTCTCATATAATGTATCTTTAGCACAGAATGTCATGAAGTGGCTTCAGATTTTAATATAAAAATTATGAGCAAAAGGAAAGAGCTTTTTATAGGAAACGAGCAGAAGGAAAGGCCGCACTAGGGGTGTGATATGAACAAATTATTCATGAATTCTCACATGGGAGCCAGGATTAGGGTAAGGAACTTCTTATGCGATGACATGCTCCTGATTCTTAGAGAATGGTTTGGCTTCAGCATCCTGTGAACTCTGATGTTTGGACGTAGACTTTAGGATGGCTGGAAGGCTGAATAGTTGGGATGGAATACTGTTTCATACATAAGGACTCCAGCTTAGCCAGTATCGAGATGAAGGCCAATTATTGGAGGGCAGACTGACAGACAAGCAAGGTGAAAGTAAAAAAGGATTTTAATCAGCAGGGATGAAGACATTATAACTTTTAGAATTAAAGTTAAGTGTAATTTCACAGAAGTATTCGTTAATAAAAGGCTTTTTAGTCAAGGTAGAAGCTGGCAGTTTACATTGGCAAAGTAAGTAATAGAGGAAAAAAATTAAGGGATCTCTTTCCTCACATCTATGTAAAAATAAGATATGACCAGGTCAGGAACCAGTTACCCAAACAGATTAGTTTAAAGGAAAATCACATTAAAAGCTAGATTCTGAAAGAAATGTGGTGGCTTTGCATATCATCAGAACATCATTGTTAGTCTCGCTATATATAAATCGATTTCCAGTTTTTTCTAATGGGTAAGTTGTGTTGCTGTCATTAATAGTAAACTTTTCTGCAAGAAGATTGAGAGACTGTTTGATCCAGAGTACCTAAATCCAGACTCTCGAGGAAGTGCAGCAACATTATACAGGTATGGTCTTTTCTTATTACTACTTCAGTTGCAAGGACAAGTCCTTGTGTTTCAAAGTCCTGCTCTTACTCCAGTACTTTCTTCCCCCCCCAATCTAGGTGTTGTTTATGTAAAAAGATGCTAACTAAAGAAACTGAACGAAGAATTCCTTGTGTACCAGGAAAAATCAACATAGATCAACATGGGAATATTGTCTATGTTCATATAAGGTAATGAATATATATATCTATAAGAAATATTTCTTCAACTGTATGATTTTTGGGTGATTTTAAAAAATACTACATGTTTAGGAATTATCAGATACTCACATTACATAATGAAGTCATAGATAATGTGAAGAGCAGTATGAAACATGTCAAGTTCTTATATTATACCGAGCAAAACAAAAAAAGGGTGATTATGATGATGTACTTCTGAAATTCATTCAGCAGTGCCACTGCTGAGTGGAAATGGAAAAAACTACAGCACGATTACTGGGAGGGCTATTTTGGGTTGCACTGCCTTAAATAGAAAATACTCAGCTAATTCTTTCGTCAAAGGGTTTTAAGATATGCGTAGTTGATGACAAATTAAATTAAAGGCTGCATTTTTACAAGGTTTGGTATTGAATGATAGATCCACCTCTGCCAGCAAAGAAATGCTGAAGAGTATTTTCTAGACTGACTTTATACTGTCAAATCAAATACTTACCCTGCTTAAAGACTACTATAAATAAACTTTGCCAGTTGTTTTTCTGTTCTAAAATACGTGTCAGAGGAGCTCCCAGCACCTATTCTGTATGTATGCCTTATTCATTTGGCACAAATGTTTTATTTGGTTCTGTCTGTTTGATCCACGTTTGTGAAAAGCTTGATTCTCCTCTTAATGAAGATCAGTGCGTGATCAGCTGCCGTTCCCTCCCTCCCCACACGCCCCCTTAAGGAAGATGGTGTGAAATTAATAACGGGAGACCTTTCTCATCACATGGATTTCGTTCAGAACAACCAAAACACAGTTCAGTGTCAGCTCCCAAGGTAACACGTATTTAGTGCTACCTGCCACCAGTAATTCCAAGGTGTGGATTAAGTTCTGCCTAACGGTCTAAATGGAACAGAATATTGCAACCCTGTCCTGACTGATTAGGATCATTGGTGATTAGCCACGTAAAATTCATTAATTGTATTACTTCACTTAAGCAGACTGTATGTAGTTGCTATGCAATTCTTAGCATGGTTTTAGAGTTACTCAGAGGATTATTTAGGTTCTAATTATTTGCCTTGTGGTCTTATTTGTGGTATTATTTACCTTGCCTGCTTTTCTACAGGGAATCCATTTACCGGTCCTTAGGCAAGGTGATGTTGGCCACTAATGCATTCAGGCTTATAAGCTAATACAAGCCTATCTTTAATGACTTAAAAATAGGCTTATATTTATTGGTCTTCTAGTGGTGCCTAGAACTAACTTCCTGTTGGAAGTACTGCTCGCTTAGTCTAGATTAGGTGTGTATAGAATAAAACATGATTCAGGCCAGGGCTTTAAAAAGGTGAGAAAACAGTATCTGCTCTTTCTGAAGATAACATGCACCAGTGCAGGTTGTGTATTCTTTTTTGAATTCTGAAGAGGCATGTGTCGTTTTATCACTAGGAAGTAGCAGAAGCTGTATTTTTAAGACCAGAAGCCTCAGATTCATCAAAAAGACATGGTCTTATATTTTCAAACTTTAATTCTTAACTGAGTAATTGCTGTTGCATTGCAGATACATAGAAATATGTTATATTGGCTTTTAAAACAAATAAAATAGAATGGCAGTACATTGCTTCTGTTGCACAACATATTACTTTAAAAACAGAAAACTGCAATATGACTGAACTTGTTTGCATGTGCATATTTTGATTTCTTCTAGTCTGTGTATTGGTTTTATGGTTCTCCTGATTTCCAAAAGGCTTGATATTTATCTTAGCTTATAAATTTGCAGTATATGGAGCTTGAGATGAATCAAGCTGTAATTCTTTGTTATCAGTAGGCTTAGGATGTTGTGAAAAAATATAGGCTCTTCTGTCATGGTCTGAATTTGTACTGATGATTGTCCCGCGTTGTATCCTTCCTGTTCTAAACTCTTCTGTAGGCTTTTCGCCAGTGGAACTTATGTTGTTCTGCTCCTTCTCCACCTCACCTTTCCAGTGGCAGGATCAAAACAGAGTTATGACTCTTTATGCAACTTGACCTTTGGCTTTTTCAGAGACAAAACCTGGGAAGTCCACGAGTACTTAATTGGCCTTCATGAGGAATTGAAATCTTGGCGGGATGTTTATTGGCGTCTTTGGGGGACTGTCAATTGGTTGAGCTGCTCAAGATGTAACCAAGTTAGTGTATTTTCCCTTTCACTTGTTCGTCTGTAGATGGCTTGTTGGGGGTGACTTTTTGGGGGGTGAGGCAGGGATCAAAGCAGTTTGGAAAATATATGGCGATAAAGCTTGGTATATGTTCTTTGTAGTGCAAAATTTTGACGTCCGTAGGTAATCTCCTCTCTCATTGTCTCTCTTTTTATTCTAATGTAGTCTTTCCTGTGTACTGAATTCTCCCACTGCCAGTACCATTCGCAGCCGGTTCTTTACCCAGGTGTAGCAAGTGCGCTGGGCTCGACTGGGACAGGAGTATATCCCTGCTGTAACCAAAAAGTACTTCGATTTGATCCTACAACCCTCCCAAAGGTACTTCAAAACTAGCTGACTTTTTTAAAAGAGCTTAACACATAGCAGAGGGGGGGTGTGACTGTGTTATGAAAATAGAGTTTTTCCAAAATAAGGATTGTAAATTGTTGCAGTGTCCCAAGGCAGGCTAGGACCTCGGGACACAAAAGTTTAAAAATTGAACTTTTGTTATTGTACTTACTGAAATTAGTTCTTCCCGTTAACTCAGGTATTTGATTTTGTGTGTATATGTGTCGCAGGGCTGCAAAGTGAGGGATCACATGGTTGATTTACCTTCAGGAAATGAAGATGGGGATGCTTTGCCATCTCAGACTACTAAAATATTGAATGATCTGCTCCATCATAGAGATGTTATCGTTGTTCCTTTCACTAAGGATGAGAATAGGTAAGAACACTGTCTTGTGTTACTGAAATAACTTAGCCTTCTACACTTAACACTTGTGCACATTATGTTTGATTTCTCTCCCATTTTAAAATGGGTGACGTAGGCCTTTTAAAGGTAACTTATTTGTTATTGTTTAGTTGGAAATTGGGAAGAGAAGAACAAGTACTTCTTATGTTTCAAGCAGCCATTTAGTCATTCAACCCCCTTAAGCATTCACTCCTATCTTTATATTTTAATGGATTGTTACCAAAATATTATGTGGCTGACTGGGAGGTCTGTCTTCTCTTGGTACGTGATGAGTAAAGAGAGACTGATTCTGAAGTTATGCAATAAAAGAGTTTATTTTTGTTTCACATCTTTCTCTTTAAGTGATTCTGGTATTGGGCTCTGTGATGAAAAAGGCATTGAATGTGATGTCCTTGTAGAACCAAATACGCCGTGGGGTCCCAAAACTGGAGAAATTAATGCTGTGAGTGACTGCTAATGTTTTCTTCTGCCTCCTTTCTGATAATGAAGATTCTTACAAGCGTACTTTGAAGAATTCATTAGACAACTTTTAATAAAAACAAAACCCATATGTTGTTGGAGGAAGGAAGTGCACTGCTGAGCTTTGCAGGCTAGTGTAGGCTAGCATAGGTACAAAATACCTGGTTGGTGAAAAGGCAAAATTTTACCACGTCTGCCGGAAATACTTCTGTATATCAGAGGCAAATCCCCAGATGTCTGTGCTTTCCCCCCCATTCTTAAACTGATGATATTTAAGGATCCAGTCATAATTTAAAATACATCACGTGGCAAATATTTAAATAATTGCTGCCTTCATTTTGTTTGCAGATGTATCTGGGTATGTCCACGTGACTTCTGTAAGCCCATAAATGAAGAACACTAACTTGGGTTGTGGTGTTTTGGTTTTTTTGGTTGTTTTGCGGGGGGGGTGTTTGGGTTCTCCCCCCGCCCCGGATGTGGAAGACTTACTTCCTCAAACTATGATGTATGTATGTTACTATGTGTATGTCAGGTCAACAGAGATACTTTTTAAGCCAAGTTTAAGGAGACTGTTTATAATGCTAACTCTAGCTTAAAGAGAGATTTCATGCAAAGTTAAGTTTTTGATGTTCTGCACCTGTTGTGGAACTTCTGGTAACTCAGTGATCCTGATGGTAGCATGATGCTGCTGATTCCGTGGGAATTTCAGAGTGTCAGAAGCTCTTCCACAACAAATGTAGGAGGCTATTAAATTTAAGTTTTGTAACAACGTGGTACATAACTGCCCTGTCCTGGACTGCTTTTTTGATTAAAATCAGCTGTAAACATTTGTAGTGCTAAGGTTAGTTAAATGAAAATGTGATTATGAATTCACTACATTTAATTGATTAGTAGTTCACAGCCTGTTTGCACACTTAGTCATTCCACCAAAATATGTAGTTAAAGATGAGAGTAGGCCTTCCAGGAGTTACCAGTGTAGACTGCTGTACTATAACATACCACTCCTATTTTTAGAATTCCACTTGCATTTTTTTTTTCCTTCTAATGATTATTAGTTCTTTAACTTACATGCCTTTCTCTTTTTGTGACTACAGTTTCTTTCTCTGAAGAACTGGACTTTACAGCTGGTTAGTAAAATATTTTGTTCGTAATTTTTAATAGTTGCTCTTCTGCGCTGGCAGATATCTAGCTTTGAGTTTTGTCTTATTTTCTGATTAATTTGGAGGAAAATGCATTTTCTTCTGCTGTAGTTTGGAGGTTGCAGTATAGCAACAATTTTTACAGGAAAGTATGAAGTATGTGTGAAGTACTACTTTGGCTTGAATAAAGATTAACAATTCCTTTCAAATGGTTTTTATAAATGACAACAAACAATAGACCAGCAATGCACGCATCAGTTCTTAGTAGTTCTTTAGGCTGACAGAAATGTAAATCGTCAAAATCAGCATTTTTGAGAGTCTGGCTCTTTGATGGCTTGTCTGAGATGCTTCATGTCTTCCTTATGCTGCTGCTTCATTGCAAAAAGCTTTTAATCAGGGTTGAAGACCTAGTGAAATGCAGAGGATAGGGAGTCGTTCTTCCAGCAGCATAGGATGTCACAGAATTTACTTTTTTTTTTTCTCCTAATGTAAATGCTAGAGAGCAGCAATTTACTTCTGTCACTCTTGATGATTTGTGTTGGAGTCTGATGTTCCTGGTGTCCTACAGTAAGACTGTTCATAGAATCATAGAATCGTTTAGGTTGGAAAAGACCTTTAAGATCACCCAGTCCACCCATTAACCTAACACTACCAAGTCCACCACTAAAATGAAACATGAAATTGCTACTCTCCCCTTAATTGGTTTAGTGGTGGACTTGGTAGTGTTGGGTCAATGGTTGGACTGGGTGATCTTAAAGGTCTTTTCCAACCTAAACGATTCTATGATTCTATGTTGGCTTGGTGGCTGGATTATTTTTTAATGAATGTAAAACTAGAATAGAATCATTAAGGTTGGAAAGGACCTCTAAGATCATCAGTCCAACCATCCACCCAACACCACCATACCTACTAAACCATGTCGCAAAGTGCCACGTCTACATGTTTTTTGAACAACTCCAGGGATGGGGACTCCACCACCAAACTCTTTGAACTTGAAGTCCATTTTGGGCTTTCATAACTTCTCATGGATTACTAGGTGCTCGTTATCACTTCAAAAGATATGTGTGTATATTCAAACAATGTAAACATCACATTCCTTAATATTTTCATTATCCTGTGCTGATTGGTTAGGAACTATTCACTGTAACCCCACCTACTGCAATATTGGAGCCAAGTGGTTTATCATATATAAGAGATAGAAGGGGGGGAAATAAATTTAGGTATTGGGGTGAGTTCACAAAAAAAAAAGCCAACCGGGCATTCCAGACCAACTTACAATAAATTATTAATGCAGTTAGCCCTGGTGTACAGAATCTATGTGTATTTGTAGTGCACTGCAATATGCATGCTTTGTGGTATTTAATTAGTGAGTATCTCGGCAATGTCAGGCAGTTTGCAAGATGCAGCAAGCCTCGATAGAACTGTAAGTAAACTTGTAGATTCCTGTATTGTGTCATTATGTGGCTAGCTCAGATATTTACTACCATAACGTAAATTTTCTTATTAATTAGAAAAATAACATAGCCAGGAATACATTGGATACTGAATCATACAATGATATGTGCTGGAACGGATCTCTGGTGGTCATCTTATGTATTTCATCCTATTCTCAAAGCAGGGCCAACTTCAAAGTTAGATTCAACTTCAAAGCTATATCACTTTGCTCAGGGTCATATCCAGTCAAATCTCTGAATATGGAGATTCCGTGGCCTCTCTGGGCAATGTCTTACAATGCTTGACCACTTGGAAGAAACACACAAATATTTATCAAAACATTCTAAGCAGAGATTTGAAATTACTTTCTCAACATTTGAGAATCATGTTCTGAGACCTAACTGTGCACAAAGTTATGTCACTAAGATGTGGAGCTAGGTTTGAAGACAACTCCTTCAGGACAGATTTAATGTCTCATCTAATAGGAATTAAGCCTCGCTCACAATCTGTGGCACTCTCTTCCTCTTGATTAGAAACAGCAGTCATTGTTATCTGAAGAGGAGGAGTATACCACTGGCTCGGAGGTCACTGAGGATGAAGTGGGGGATGAAGAAGAAGTATGCAGGAAACCAGGTACAACAAGTCTCTGTAGTCATCCTCCCTGGAATTCAGAGATAGGGATTCAAGGTAGCGGAACGCTTCTGTAAGCAAATTTTAAACATTAGGAATTTTTAAAATAAAAAGTCATGTTACTTGGATTCTATTTCTAGTTTTTCTGTGTTTAGATACAAATTACCCCACTGCTCAGTGCCATCAAAAATCACTGGCAAATGAAGAAGGCTGCAACTATTCATGTCTGAGATGTCCTCAAAGTTGATCAAGGGAGTATTTTGCAGGAAAGCCTATCAAATTACTTTTATGAAGTTTTATGAAGTTTCTTGTAGATAAATGTTGGAAGAAAAGGCCGTAGCTACACGACTATTTTTGCATGCTTTTTACTTTTATTTTTCCTTTCCACCCTAGTAATGAGCAATTTGAACAGAGGCAGTTCTTTGTTCTTTTTGTCTTGATTCAAAGGGATTGGAGTTTACCAGTACATTTAAAAAAAAAAAAAAATTGAATGAAAATTTTTGTAGTTTGACTTTAAACTTGTTTGGTCTGATATAACTCAGAGCTTGTTGATTGAATTAATGTGGTCAAAGATGTAGCTTGTGTGAACTTGCTTTTAATTTTACAACAGAAAACTTGGGCAGTTACATGTAACATCTCTGCATTTTAAATATGTACTTGAGTTCCTGTATGCATGTAATAGAAAAGCCTTTGAGTAACCTGTGTGTTATTAGCATGCCTTCAATACTAACAAAGGGAAAATAGCCTGTTTATTTACTCTGTTTGTAAAGGAATAAAGGGAAAAAATTCTTCTGTAGCTGTGTAGAAATTCCAAATATCTGTGATGGTGTTATTAGATACTTCTTCAATTAGCAGGGAGAAAGGAGAAATCAAAGAAATCCTACAAGCACCCAAAGAAAGTGGTTTCTTCACCTAGTGTTCAGAAAAAGGAGAAGCCCTCTGACAAGGTAAAATCAGAGCTGTGAAGCCAGCCTCTCTGGTTGGTCTGAATAATGTGGAATTCTCTTAAGTTTTGGACTTGATCTTAAAACACACTTAATGGGGTTTTCTTTCTTTGATAGTCAAGTTCCCGAGATGCATCTCCATTCATGTAAGTAATTTTCAAAGTCCTTGAGAACATATTGTAGTATATCCCTTTTTGTAAACTGTTACTGGTAACATTGTGTGCATCTTTCTTTTCTAACCAGTGTGAGTATGCAGCAGAACAAATGGGATGCCTCCAGGTCACTAAGATTCAACCAAGATGCTCAAAGAGAAGATGGTCCGTTCTTGCATGAGTTTAGCTTTCATAAAGTTAATATTATGCGAAGAAAATTGTTCTTTCATATAAGAAATGGCTAATTTCCTAAAATGTAGCTACTTAGAAACCTTTAGATTGAATTTAATCTCAGATAATAGCAATGGTTTGGGGTTTTTTGTTTTGGTTTTTTTTAAGTTAGTTGTTCCTCATTTGGAAGAGAACAGATTTCAGCTACGCTAATTGTTAGTAATCAGCTGTATCCAAACCACACAGCAACCTCAGACTCTTCCAAACTGTACAAAAATATTCATGCAGCTAGGAACTCCTTCTGAAAACATTACTTTAGAACTTGATTGGCATTTATTAGCAATCTCATCTATTCTATAGGAGGATAAGTGTTTGTGGTAGGAAAATGGAAAGAAAATCCACCATATAAAACTCTACACTGTAGTCTTGCACACAGACTGAAAAATAAATGGGCAGCATTGGGCCTGCTGTCTTGGAAAATACTGGAAAGGAATTCAAAGTTTGCAGGAGAAAATGAAAAAAAAAAAGCATTAAAAGTGTATGTTAGCGTGGTTTATGTTCTAACCTAGAGAGGTTATAGTTGTGTCATCCGATGACTATATAAGTATGTAAATAACTATTCCTGCATCCCTGTGCCATTTGTTGTCTGTGCAGATAAACAGATAAACATTCACTTCTATCTCTTTCCCAGTCTTTCTGACTAAAAATATTCAGAATTATATTCGTTTGTTCCACCTTCTGTCCTCTCCTGTGATTCTTGTGCATTTTTGCTGTTCTGAAAAGCTCTGCCTCAAAACTGTTCCCATAGATTTTGATCTCAGTGTAATGCCTCAGGCTGATTCTGGTATCTGCCAAGAACACTGCTGAAGCTACATTATGCATCAGGATCTAGGGTCTTGGTTGTTTGAGATTTTTATATGAGCTGAAAAGAAAGCTAATTTTGCAAATAGAATATCGCTGAAGTGTGCGTCTAATTCTTTTCTCTTTGTATTCAGTAGCAAGGAGAATCTCTGTTCTAAATATTTATTCTTATTTCTGACAGATCAGAGAAGAATGTCTGAGATTACAGGGCACTTAATAAAAATGAGACTGGGAGACCTTGATCGAGTCAAGTCAAAAGACAGCAAAGAAGTAAGAGTTGTTCTGTCTCAGTGTAGTGTTTACAGAATTGAAGTGAGCCTTGGTAACAAAACTATGTAGCAGG